AAAAAAAAAAAAAAGAGGAGGGGGGGGACCCTCTTCTTTTATTTATTTATTTATTTATTTCATTCTGTTGATTAGGACCGGGAATGGAAAGTGCAGTTTGGGTTATTTTCCTGCGTTACCCTCCCACCCAGCCCTTTGCCTACTTTCCGGTTTGGTAAGTGCCACATCAGCAGCAGTACCATGACAGCAGCAGTGCCACGTCAGTAGCAGCGCCACATCAGCAGTGCCACGTCAGCAGTACCACATCAGCAGCAGTACCACGTCAGCAGCAGTGCCTCGTCAGCAGTACCGTGGCAGCAGTGACACATCAGCAGTGCCCCGCCACCATGACGGTTTCAGTTCTGGGCATGCCAGGCCAACTGGCCAACGAGTCCATTGCCGAGTACCGACAGCGGTTCCAAGCTCAGCTCGCACTTATAGAGGCTGAGGAACAGCGCCAGGCGGCAGCCCGCCTACAGGCTGAAGCGGAGGCAGCGGCTGAAAAGCAGGGGCTTCAGGACGCAGCTGACGCAGATTCCCAGGCCCGCCGCAAGGAAGCCCAAGATCTGTTGAAGCGGCATGAAGCCGTCAGCGTCGACAGGCTCAAGTTCTGGCATTTTGAACCGTCCTAGGGCCATGACAACACAACACCGGAAGAGTAGCACAAGGAGTTCCTCTCCAAACTCATGACCCGGTTGGTTTACACTTGTAACCACCTGCAGTCCAAGCTAGAGGAACAGCACCAGGAACTAGGGAATCTCCGGCAAGCAGTGCGGAACCACAAGGATCTGCACGAGGATGCTACATGGGCACTTCATACCCGTGTACAGGACTTGGAGCAAGCAGCACCAAGACCAGATGCTGGCGAACCCAGCAATGCAGCCTCAAACCGCCAGTTGGAGCAACGGATCGACCATGTACTCGCAATGCTCGGCGACATCAACACTTTCACCGCACCAGCCACCATCAGCGAGCAGCTCGGCACCTCGAAGACCGAGCTCAGGCAGCTACACCAGCTGCCCAACAAGGATGGCAGCACCGGTGCATCGCGGCTGTACAAGATGCCGACGTTCCGGATCGAGAAGTTTGATGACTACATGGGCACTTCATACCCGTGTACAGGACTTGGAGCAAGCAGCACCAAGACCGGATGTTGGCGAACCCAGCAATGCAGCCTCAAACCGCCAGTTGGAGAAACGGATCGACCATGTACTCGCAATGCTCAGCGACATCAACACTTTCGCCGCACCAGCCACCATCAGCGAGCAGCTCGGCACCTCGAAGACCGAGCTCGGGCAGCTACACCAGCTGCCCGACAAGGATGGCAGCACCGGTGCATCGCGGCTGTACAAGATGCCGACGTTCCAGATCGAGAAGTTTGATGACTATACGCATCAGGACCCATTCGTCCGGTGGCAAGGTTTTACAACAGAGATTGGGATTCATGAGGTCCCCAATCACTTGTACATCTCGGCGTTGTTCCTCAACGTCAAGGGCGGATGCCAGATCTGGCTCAGCCACATGGCAACCATCCGCGGCGTCCAGGTTGCTGACTTGCACAAGAAGATCTCTTGGGAAGATCTGACCAGGGAATGGAAGAAGCGGTTCAGTGTTGACGATGCCCCGACGCTTGCCATCAACCGCCTCTTCTCCATGGCTCAAGGCAACACATCGACACGCGACTGGCTCACGGGATGGCAAAAGATTATGGCAACGCCCGATTTCGATTTGCCATTTTCGCATCTGCGCCTGGAGTTCTACAACCGGTCGTGTGCCGGCTTGAGCCTCGCACTTGGTGATCGTGAACAATACACGACCTGCCCCGAAATCATCGACAAGGCTCGTGAGATCATCAAGACCAACTGGGCTGCTGCACACGAGAAATCAGCGTGGCAGCCAACCTATGTGGCGGGAGGAAAATTTGGTCCGCATCCGCAGCCTGTCGTTGCAGTCCAATCGGACAACATTGTGGAAGACCCGGCATCCACCCCAGCATCACGTGAGGGAGATCTGGTGGCCGTTGTCCAGCCGCGAAGCAACAACAACTCCGGTGGAAAAGGCAAGGCGAAAACTGCATCGCCGGTCAGAAATGGACAGCCAGTACCACGGGTCAAGTTCAGCTTGACCGAGGCCGAATACAAGTACCGCAGCCGATACAATTGCTGCTATTGGTGCAACATCACAAGCACAAGACCTCCCAATGTCAAGATCAAGGCAAGGAGGATGTTCGACCTCGAATCAGCTCGGGAAACTGAGTTGCGCGGAAGGTGAGGCGATTGCACCTCTCAGTCCACTTGGTCCCACCGTTGGACCAGCCACTCCGCGTGCAAGACTCCACCGCATGCACGGTTTCATCACCACCGTCAACCGATTCCGCAGCTTCGCCGCCAAATTTAGCCGGGGATTCGATGTCATGGTCAAGACTTGAGAGACTCGACCCGTTGACATTCTCAGACTTCCAATGGATGCCCCTTCCCCCGACCGGTCGATTGCTAAAACCGCATTGCTATGCGCTCAAGGCACAATTGCGGGATTTCTTGCACACTGCAGTACCAGCTCCGTTGATGGACGCCGGAGTAGAGGTTGTTGACCTTCGCGACTACCTTGCGAATATCGACCGCGAGTTCAAGACACAACGGTACGACAAAACAACGACACGCCATTGTTGTACATACACATTCAGGTCGGAGAAGCGACCTGCACGCTTTGATCGATTGCGGAGCTACCCGCAATTATATGAGCCAAGATTTTCTGGTACGCGCTGGCCTGGGGCCATGCGTTCGGAGGAAGTCGCAGCCCACGCAAGTCACGTTGGCCGACGGCCACACACACAAGTCAATCGACGGGTGCATTGATTCCGTCCCCGTGTACTTCGCCCCGCATGCAAGCGAGGCCGTGTCCTTCGACATGTTGGACACCAAGGTGGATATCACGAACAGATTTGCAAGCATCTGCACCGCTGATCTACGCCGACTACGAGCGACAAAGACTAGCTAAGGAAGCTTCACAACCTGACCCGGACTTTGGTCCCTCCCTCCGACAGGCAGCTTCGCCCTCGCAGGTAAGCTCGGTCTTTCAAGAAGGGGGGGGGGGGGCATGCTGCACACCACACGGGCCTGCAAGGCCCGACCAGGTGGACTAAGGGCCCTCCAGGCCCTGTGTCATTTCAGCCTAAAAGCCTAAAAAGGAGGGCCAATTTGAGGCCCTCATAAAGTCGACCTTTCCTGGAACTTAGGCGCCAGACCAGGGATAAGTGCTGGCCATTTTTAGGCCCGTTTCAAGACAACCGTTCTTTGAACTTTGGCACCAGGGTCTGGCATGATTCGGCATTGGCAAGAGCAGCCTCCCAGCCGGACCAGCACTATATAGTACTGGTCTGCCCTGCAGGCTGCAGGCAGTTCACGGGAAGTTCAGGAGGCAGTCTTCAGGATTTGGCCGCAGCACTCTGCAGGAGCGCTGCAGTCCTAGTAGCTAGCACTAGGAGTAGCCTTCAGCGCAGGGCGCTGTTAGGAGCTTAGAGTAGCATTGAGAGAGAGAGAGAGAGAGAGAGAGAGAGAGAGAGAGAGAGAGAGAGAGAGAGAGGTGG